AAAGTAATATATTATACACGTGATAATAAATATAACTATTGATCTTTAGCTATAAATCCCATGTTTCGTTGTTAAAATAACACTATTTGCAACAGAATAAATTATGTAGACAAAAATCGTTGCAATTTTGCATTTTCTTGTACTGCATGTAATTAATTAGTTTATAGGAGGTTAATAACATAATCTCTTAACAATTCAAAAAATTCTCACGTTTTTGGACTAATATTTTTCATTTTGTTTCAAAAAAGCTCAATTTTGGTGAAGCCTTATCTCCGTTGCCGATGGTTTTCGCTACCCTTTGCCCTTATTGGATCACTGTAGTTTCTTTTCTTTTTTTTCTGTCTTTACACTCTTATGACATTTTCCATTTTAATTCGTAGTGTATTTTTCATTGTATTTCATATTTTCATTGCATTTCATATTGAATCGTTGTTTAATTTGGACACGACCATGAGCCGGTTTTTGGCCAGGAACCGATCCGAACCGGCCCGTTGACTGTGAACCGGTACCGAAATCGTGAACCGACTCGTGTTCCACAGGAAGGGCACGGTTTTAGAATAATGTGAACCGTGAACTGCCGGGCCGGTTCAACGGTTCACCCGAGTTTAAGATAATAATAATAATAACAATATTAAAAAAAAAAACACACAAATGTAACGGCCCAGTGAACGGGCCGTTATTTGTTTTCTTTTTTATTTTCCTCCCCCCATTTTGTCCTATAAAATTAAGTTCAAGTCCTTTCATTTATTTCGTTTTGTTTTTTTCATATTTAAAAGTAATTCTTTTAATTTATTTATCCATCAAGTATATATATATATATATAAAATTTCCGGGACAGTTTCGACAGAGCATTTTTTATAATTGAAAAAACAAATTGATCACTTGTTAGTTGTTCTACCATATCTCAAGTCTGTCCGGTTAATAACATCGATCATATGACACTTAATGATTCCATTTCCGACGACTGATCAATTTACTCGTCGTCTTAAATTCATTTTCATAACTTTCATTGTGGGGTTTAGTTTGTTGATTGTTTGTTGTTTTCGTTTTATTCACAGATCTTAACCACATTGTCTAGTTTTGTGGCTGACGTAACATTACTCTTTGTGAAGGGGGCTTCACAGTACGTTGTGACCTCTTTTGTTGCTTTTACGGGTGGATTAAGCTTTTACCTGATGTTGGTTAAGTATGTGAGGAGTGGTAAGGAGAAGGGTGGACTTACACGTAGGGGTGAGATCTTTTTGTTCGTCGCCAAGGAGGACGGCACTCGTGTTTGGCACGCTCCAACTGAACTGTATCATTTATCTTCTGTATGGCGTACGTAGCCACGTCTCTGTGCGACATCCTCGTTCGAGTACGCTCTTGGCACACAATCGTCGGAGGAATAACCCATTTTTCCACTACCCTTGCGGCGTCTTGGTCGTCGTACTAATCGACGAGATTTGTTATATCTTCGGTTAGTACCTATTGATTTTTACTCAATTCTGTCTTTGCCTATTCGTACGTTAAATAACCGTTATTGGCTTTTACTCTTACGCCTCGTTTGGTTATACTATCCAATAGATTCTTGTCGGGCAGATCCGCAAATATCCGTCTTACACCAACCCCATAGGTATAATAGGTACTGTACACATTTTTTGTTAAAAAAACCCGATCAAAAGTTAATCAGAGGGGGATTTTGGTTATTACAGATATGTAGGGGTATTTTTCATTATTTAGCCTAAGTTCAGGGGGTTTTAGTAATTTACCCTACAAGTTTTTGTTGTTGTAAGTTGTGACGTTCGAATGGACGATATTGCCCTTATAAGAGAATCATTCGATTTCTCTGTCATGAGAATTCAATGCTTGAAAAAATGTCCATAGCTGATAGCTGAATAACGAAGGCAGAAAACGGAAACCATGGTGAGAAATCTGTCACCATCGATGCTTAAAAGCTTATCGCCCCATTTTCCCTCACCACCCATACATACGCGAGACCTGTATCTAACTTCCTCCATTCTTTTGTAATCGTCCCTTCTCACTCCTCCCCAAACCCCACTAAATCTCTACCATTCCTCTTTCCAACCACACTCTTCTCTTCACAGCCGGCAGACAACCAGTATTCTTCTTCTTCTTCCCTTTTGCCTCTGACAAGGGATGGAAACTACGACGAAGCTAATGCACGAGCCTTCCCCATTTGCCCGGGCTGCGGTATACATATGCAAGATTTTGATCGCAAGCAGCCTGGGTTTTTTGTTAATCCCTTGACTAAAGGCCCTGACTACAAGAAATTCAAGAAAGAGATACCAATTTCCGATGAGTCCGGAATATCAGATTCCCTCAAAACAGGGGTTACGGTTTGAGATCACTGATGCTGAAAAGATCGATAATTTTGAAACAGAAGATCAGGTGTTCGATGAAATGCCTAAGAGAGTCGAAAATCTTGGCAGCCCGGATGAGGAGGAGGCTAGTGAGAAGCCCATTGTCTGCGCTCCAGGTGTCACAATTTGAGGTACCACGGAAGTGTGGCCCACCCGAGTGTCGAGAACTCGTTGCCTGATTTCGACTTCGATCACACCATTGGAAAGAGGCTGATGTCAACTATCGGGGCAAGGACTGTGGTTTTGCTGGTGATGGATGCAGCCGATTTCGACGTTTCATTTCCTAAGAAGATGGTCGATTTAGTCTCGAACACAATCGACGAGAATGAACAGTCATGGAAGGAATGAAAACCAGGGAATACACCGAGGCTGGTTTTGGTGGTGACTAAGATTGATCTTTTGCCTAGCAATACTTCACCGACAGGGCTCGAAAACTGGTTTCGCACACGAGCAAGGGAAGCTGGGGCAGGGAAGTTGACCGGCATTCACTTGGTCAGCTCTGTAAGAGAGTGGGGAATCAAGAATCTGGTTGATCACGTGGTTGACTTAGCAGGAGAAAGAGGGAATGTTTGGGCAGTTGGTGCACAGAATGCCGGAAAGAGCACGTTGATTAATGCAGTAGCGAAATGTGTTGGAGCGACTGCGAATCGATTAACCGAGACACTGTTGCCCGGTACAACCTTGGGAATTGTGAGGGTTGAGGGTTTGCTACCTGGGAAAGCGAAGCTGTTTGATACTCCGGATATTTTGCATCTTCATCAGATATCGACTAGGTTGACCGATAAGGAGCATAAGCTAATTCGAATCCAGAAGGAGTTGAAGCCGATGACTTATAGAATCAAAGTTTGTTTTCCTTCTCATTTGATTGTTTATTAAGTACTAATTTGGAATCTTGCTTAACTGCCATTGGTTTATTTGTGTCTTACTTTTGTCGGTTACAGCAAAATATACTTTGAATTATATTTGATTACTTTACGTTGACAGGCAGGGCAGTCGGTTCATATTGGTGGACTATTGAGGTTGGACATAGAAGAATCATCGGTAGATTCCGTTTACGTTACAGTATGGGCTTCTCCGCTTCTTACTTTGCATCTGGGGAATACGGAAAATGCTGGCACAATGTCCGAGAAACATTTTGGTGGTCATTTAAAAGTATGCTATTCACCGTCATTATGCTCTGTCAACTGCTTACTTTTTCTTCGATTCACAATGTGTGAAAGCTAGACTATATATAAGTAATGTTTTTGTTCTTTTACCTGGTTCTCAAGATGATTGAATGCCGTCATATAGACGTTTATGGTACATCAGATTCGGATACTTGATTTGAAATTTGAAAATTACTTTAAAGAGTGGATTTTGCTACGGAAGATTTCTTGAAAAATACGGTCTATCTAACACCAGTTACTCTGTGCACAATATTTCTTTATGCTCGACACAAAAACTGCTGTGCCAAAAGCAATATCGATGCTCATTTCTGGACCACGGCATGCACTCCTCGATAGACTTTAACCTTATTTATCGAGCAAATATGATTGATTTGATTTAATTTACGATTATCTTTTTTTACGTTTCAGCCGCCAATTGGAAAGGATAGATTTCAGGAGCTGGGAGAATGGGTAAAAAAGGAATTTCGCGTAACTGGCAACTGGTGGGATTCAAGTGCGGTAGATATTGCAGCTGCTGGCCTCAGTTGGTTTGCTATCGGACTAAAGGGAGAGGCTCAATTAGGCGTTTGGACATATGAAGGAGTCGACGTAATTGTCATAAATGCTTTGCTTCCTCAAAGATCACACATCTTTGAGGTTGCCGGTTTTTCAATCTCTGAAATTGCTTCGAAACCTGATCAAGCTACTACGACCAAGAAGCGTAAAAAAACGACAAGAAGAGCAAACAAGGCATCGACTCGACGAAAGAACCATCCGATGCTGCTGACGTGGCTAATATTGCTGATGTGGCTTCGAATTCAACTTGAGACTATTAAATGGTGATTGTTGCAGTTTGAAAGTTTAACTTCAATGAACATTGGTTTAGGGGTTTCTTAAATTTTTGTCCTTGATGAATGGAATCGAGTTCTTGATGAGGATTTGTTTTCCGTTTTAAATTTGTGAAAAAAGGTTTTAAAATATTTGGGTCTATATTTATGATTATTTGCATTTGCATGCTTATGGCCTTTATTTATTTAAGTTATTAGGATTTAGGGTTAATCACAAATTACCATCATCAAATTACGATCGATTAGATAATATTAGGATCATATAATTACATTACTCAACACATAATCTATGATTATAGGTCAATGTTTGAACTTTGAACTAAAGAAGTTTTGAAATTTTGCTTTCCAAAAGTTTTTGAAATTATAATAAACATAATTTTTTTTAGGAAATAGTGAGAAGGATTTCAAAAGATTTTAACTAATTTCGAAATACTTGCGAATTTGGCAACTAATTGAAGAATATATTTCTCTCTCTACAACAAATCCACAATTAAATTAATACAAAAATGAAAATAAAATTTGACAATGAACAAAGGCGGAATACCCATTATACCCTACCAACGTACACTACCGGATTCCAAGCAATTATCAAATCCAGTTCAATCATATTTCATAAATTTGACAATGAACAAAGGCGGAATACCCATTATACCCTACTAACGTACACATAACCGGATTCCAAGCAATTATCAAATCCAGTTCAATCATATTTCATAATTCCACTCTCCCGCCCCTTCATCCGCCTCTTCAAAACATTTCAAACCCCTTTAAAAACCCTACCTCAAACCCCCTTACTTCCCCCCCAAATACTCACACAGCTTATCTACACACAAACACGCACTATTACACACACATACATACATACATACAGAAAGCTGCATTCCCGTTCAGCTTCTAACAATGGCGATTAAGAGGAAATCCAGATCGGTGAAGACGGATCCGGCGGCGATGGAAGAGGATTCCCGGTCAAATAAGCGCATATCGTCCGCTGCGGTGGAATCTGACGGTGATTTTGAGGGGGAGGACCAAGTTGAGAGTGCGGCGGCTCCTGTGGTGGATCAGACCGTTGAGAAGGTGAAAAGTCCGGTTCAGGAAGTTAAACCGGATGATGAAGAGGAAGAGGAGGATGATGAGGGAGATGCTGAGTTTTTGGGTGAACCGGTGCCGGCAGACGAAGCAAGGAAGAGGTGGCCCCATCGCTACCAGAAAATTAATATGGTATCTATTATAATCATTTATCTGCATTTGCTGTTCAATTCGTGTGTCTTTTATATATATATAAAATATATATTCAATTAGTTTTCCAAGATTTGTTTTTTATTAGAGAAGAAATCAAAATACCTAATGTAGGCTAAATTGATTTTACAAGACTGGATTGAGTTAAATTCTGAGTAAGCGGTGTTGGGAAGAAGAGTACCAGCTGTCATCGCATATCTAAATACTATTACCTAAATGCGATAATGCGCAATTATATCATAGTGTCGTGAAACAGCCCGGACATTTATGTGAGTATGAGTATGCACTAAAAAAATAATACTCTTTTATTGTAGAAATTTGTAAGAAAGCAGAGGCTTTATTGATGAAGTGACCTCGGTATTACCAATCGATTAATATATTCCTAACATTTTCCATCATTTTTTCATAACTTATGGATTATTGCATTTGGCACCCCTGTATTTTCTGTAATTGTTGTATACTTCCAGATTATTTTATCAGCAAAACCCCCATATAATTCAATTACTTTTAGCTAACAACCCTAAAATAATTACTTTTTAGGGGGTTCTGTGCTATAAAAACGCATTATTACGGTGTTTTTGCTAATATTTACGACAGTGAGAGTTTCTAAGAATTCGAAATAACACAGGGTACTAAATGCAATAAACTCTTTTCTTAAACACATGTTCTGGAAACTAACGGAAGATATTTTTTTGAGCAAATCGTACTGTATAACTTATGTTATTGGTGGTCTGTATAAATACAGGAAGTTGTGCAAGCTAGATGCCACTTTCTCAAAGCGGAGGTTGATGGGCAGATTTATTTTCTCGAAGATGATGCCTATGTTATGGTGAGTGTTCATCTGGTTCTTTCGAAGTCTCTTTTTCCTTAACATTTTCAGTGATACGACTCTCTTTACGCCTTTATTTTATCAAAGCTTTAGCATTATATTAATTTTATGTGCCTGAATGTATTTTTCTGTGATTTAGGGTGAACCGGGAAAACCCAATTACATTGGCAAGATTATCGAGATTTTTGAAGCATTAGATGGCTCGAAAAATTTCACAGCTCAGTGGTTTTACAGGGGTGGTGACACTGTAAGACATTCCAAAAAAATGCCATTTAAAATGTTCAGTAAGGTTTAGTATTTTTTTATTCTGAGAGAGTTTATCTTATGTGTAATAGGTTCTCCAAGCTTGTGGTAACCTTATAGATACCAAGTGCGTATTCTTTTCAGATATTAAGGATGACAACCCACTTAGTTGTCTTGTAAAGAAACTTAAAATTGAAATCTTACCATTAAAGGTATGCTGAAGCCATTTATTTAACCTTTTCCTTTTTCTTGTACATTTCTGCATAGAGTGGCATGTTAATTTTGTCTCTTATGTACAGGCTGACATTGATGTGAAGGAAGCCCTCAAATCAACATGTGAATATTATTGTGATAAGAAGTATTTGCTTCCTTTTTCTTCTTTTGTAAGCTTGCCTTCAGGTACTTTTACCTTTTCAGATGAATTATGGTTTACTTTGATGTTGAATGGATTGTATTCATGATTTTTTTTTTGTAATTAATGAAAAATTGGAGTGAGACCTCATTTTCTTTGAACGATCTCTTGTTTGCAGATACATCCACAAGTAGTGATGAATCCGGCTCTACTATCTCTAGTGATACTGATGGAGAAGTGCCTGAACTCAACAATGAGAGGACCCTACTTGACTTGTACTCTGGATGCGGTGCAATGTCCACTGGGCTCTGCCTTGGTGCTAACAGTTGTGGTGTGAAGCTTGTTACTGTAAGTTTTCATATTTAAACATCTAGGATATTATCTATTGTGTACCTATTCTTTTGATTGTTATGAGTCTTTTCAAAATAAAGTTATTCAAGGTATATATCATTTCTAATTTCATTTGTTTCCTTTTCTTATGAGTAGAAATGGGCCGTGGATATTAATGAATATGCTTGTGAAAGTTTGAGATTAAATCATCCAGAAACACAGGTGCATTTTCATTTTGTTTTATTTTATTTTTTAGACCAATTATCATCTTTGTGCTTAAAAAATAGATGTTGGAATTTTGTTAAATAGGTGCGAAATGAATCCGCGGATGATTTTCTCCATCTACTTAAGGAATGGGAGAAGCTTTCATCTCGTGAATATGGAGTGTTGAATGACACTGAAGATGATGATGATGATGATGATGATGATGATGATGAAGATGAAGAGGACGAAGCAGGTGCAGAAGACTCTGAAGTTTTTGAGGTTGATGAGATACTGGCAGTTTGTTATGGTGACCCGAATAAAACTGGAAATCCCAAACTTCACTTCAAGGTAGTTGAGTTAAAATGATTCGTGTCAATGTTGCTCTGAACACTTCATATGCTATAAATGGAATAAGATGAATTGTTTTTACCTATTCTGAGCTGATGAACAAGTTATATATATGTTTGCGTTACATATTTTAATTTGTGCTTACTTTCTTAACTTCTTTAGATACGTTGGTTAGGCTATGGTCCAGATTACGACACTTGGGAACCATTGGAAGGCCTAAGGTATATAAAACCTAAGACCCTTTTGCTGTTTAAGATTATTTTCATTTCTAATAGGTGTCTATGAATGCTATTTTGCTAGTGGCTGTCCTGAAAAGCTGAAAGAATATGTTGCAAAAGGCAACCAATCCAAGATGTTGCCATTACCCGTAAGCTTTTGCTGCTCTATGCCAACACATAAGTTATTATACTTTACTTTGAGTAATTGGTATTTTGCTTTCATGCCTTGTAGGGTACTGTTGATGTCTTATGTGGGGGCCCTCCCTGCCAAGGGATTAGTGGCTTTAATAGGTTTAGGAATACAAAGAATCCTCTCGCAGACCAAAAAAATGAACAATTATCTATTTTCATGGATATTGTGGCCTTCTTGAGGCCAAAATTTGTGCTGATGGAAAATGTCGTGGACATTGTGAGGTTTGCGGGGGGGTTTCTTGGTAGATACGCACTAGGCAGACTTCTCTCGATGGACTATCAAGCAAGGATGGGTATGATGGCAGCTGGTGCTTATGGACTGCCTCAGTTTCGAATGCGAATGTTCATGTGGGGTGCGCTTCCCACAGAGGTGACGTCATTTGCCCTTTTCTATTTTTGCTTTGGTATTGACATTATGATGTTATAAAGAATTGTCATGTATAAAGTACTATTTCTTAGACTAGCTTTTCTTATATTCATTTCTCAATTGTTTTCTGCACTACAGAGACTGCCCCAGTACCCGTTGCCTACACATAATGTTGTGGCCAGAGGAAATGCCCCCACCGAGTTTGAAGTAAGTGTTGCTAATTTCTTAACGAATTTTTTGGTGTCTACTTTTTTTGCTTGTAAAAGATATTTTCTGAGGTCTAATTTGAGTACTTGTAAATCTATCTATCCATTCTCAAATGTAGGGGAATGTTGTTGGATTTGAAGCAAGTCGTGAAGTCAAACTGGCAAAGGAACTTTTTCTGGAAGATGCAATATCCGACCTCCCTCCTGTAAGCAGAACTCAAGTTTCTCACCCTTATCTACTTTCCTAGGTTTCATCTCATAATTCATTATTTAAAAATATGTGACTTAGGTTGATAATGATGAGAGCCGTGATGAAAGGCCTTATGATCTGCAGCCACAATCTGAATTCCAGCGCTTCATTCGGCTACGAAGGGATGGTGAGCTGTTCTTTGTTTTCTCTTTTTATTTTTTATTTTCTCAAGTAGCAAAGAGTACATATAGTATCTGCACATATATATTTTGTTTCCAAGTCATTATACATAAAATATGATGCTGGTATTATTACTTTTAATTTCTTGTTCATTTACAATGCAGAAATGCCTGGCAGCTTATTGTTCAATTTGGAAGTGGTAAAACACGATTTGTATGATCATCGCCCCCTGCAGCTAAATCAGGATGATTACGAACGTGTTTGTCGAATACCTAAAAAGAAGGTATGTTCATCTTATTGTGTTGTAGAAATAGAATATGGTATTACAACTAAATAATGCCTTATTTATTTGAAACTGTGTTTATTCGAAATTGTCCTTTGTGCTATTAGGGTGCAAACTTTAGGGACCTGCCAGGTGTCAGAGTTCGTGCTGATAACAAAGTTGAGTGGGATCCTGATGTAGAAAGGGAAAAGGTGACTTCAGGGAAGCCTCTGGTATGATTTTGTTATTCAAGTTTCTTATGTAATATCTATCATTTCGTTCTCCAAAACAATGTCCTGCTGGTGCCTGACAAAGACTTGTTAATTGCAGGTTCCTGATTATGCTATGACGTTTGTTAGAGGAACTTCATCGAAGTACAATAACTATCTTTTATGCTTAATCTTTACTTAGTGAAGCGAAGTTTTATGCTATTAACGTGTACTTCTTTTCCAAAATGTGCAGGCCATTTGGGCGATTGTGGTGGGATCAAACTGTGCCCACTGTTGTTACCCGTGCAGAGCCTCATAACCAGGTAGCACACACACTCGCAAATATATATATATATATATATATATATATATATATATATGTATATATATATATATGTATGTATTCTGTAGTTTACATTGTTTCATCCCGTCGTTTGTAAATTCAATATTATTTACACATACTCGCTCCAGGCAATTTTGCATCCGCTTCAAGATAGAGTTCTTACAATCCGTGAGAATGCTCGACTGCAAGGCTTTCCTGATTACTACAAACTTCTCGGACCAATAAAAGAAAGGTAACATTTTTTTAGAGCACTAACGATATTACCTTACACTAGTCGGCCACTAGATTCTTTCGCTTCTGATCAAAATAGTTTCTTGACAACTACGTTATGTTGAAAACATTTGGCTCTTGCTCGAGAGGTTTAATACATTTGTTGTTGTGATGTTTGTCAGATACATACAAGTAGGAAATGCAGTGGCTGTGCCCGTAGCACGAGCATTAGGATTTTCTTTAGCTTTGGCATTGAGAGGGTTATCGGGAAATGAGCCATTACTCACACTGCCTGAGGATTATCCGTTGATGAGGGATGTTCCTGTGCCTAATATCGTAACGCTCTGATTAACGATTGCTAGTTGTTTGCAATGTTTTGATACTGTTTATCTATTTGTAGTGATATTTATTTAAAACAATCAGGAATTCTTTTCCTGTTCGATGTAACGTCTATCATGCAACAAACAAATATTCACTTGAGCAAAAGCGCAGTGCTTTTGTATTTATGACTGTATAATTCGCCCGTTTCTATGTTTTGAATTTTTATTCTTCGGTTGTATTTGCTGAAGTTTTTTTTTGTATTTATCCTCATTGTAAATTTGCTCAATTGGTTTTGAAAACAATCTATTGTGTGTTGATTCATGATTGTGAATGGAGCTGTTAATGGATTGAATCGTGTCGAATATGGCTGTTTAGGCTTTGTTTGGTCATATATTGAATTATAAAATTTGTTTAATTATTTATGGAGATTGAAAGAAGTTTAATTGAGCTTTAAAATTTTAATTACAAAGAAACCCTTATTGTTTGAGAAATTTCATCGATTCCCTTTTAGTTTAGAAATTTCTTACATTCACCTCCCTACAAACGGCTATAAATGAAGTAATTTACAAATTTCAAGGAGATGGATATAATTATTGGTAAATGAGGGGGTTTTTCGTAAATAGATCTTACCCTTAGGGGTAACGGTTGTAAATTTACCCATTTATTTAAGAGGGGAGATTCAATCATCCCTCCGTTTGAATGTCATCTTCGTCGTACGAATCGGGAATATTCGCATGATTTCCCGCCAGATTCAAACTCTGTTCCAATTATCAAAAACCTCCACGAAACATTTCCAACTCCTCCACTGTTTCCTCCTCAAAACCTCCCTCGACCACCATGAGTACTTCTTCTCTCATCTCATTATCTCCGGCGCGTCCGCCTCCCTCCACCACGCGCGGCAAATTTTTGATAACTCATCCGTTGCGCCGCCGCTCTTTGCGTGGAACACGCTGATTAAAGCGTACGCCAAGAGCTCATCCGCCCCAACAGAGTCCGTCAAACTCTTTGTGGAGTTACTTCGAACGCCATATGACCTGAAACCTGATAAATTTACGTACCCTTTTGTTATAAAGGCTTGCGGGCGTTGTTCGATGCTGGGCGTCGGTGGGTCGGTTCATTCGATGGCTATGAAGGCGGGTTTTGGTTCGAATTCGCATGTGTGCAATACCCTGTTGACGATGTACAGTGGGTGCTGTGTGGTTGAGTTTTCGAGAAAGGTGTTCGATGAAATGTCTGTGAGAGATGTGGTGTCTTGGAGTTCTATGATTTCCGCTTATGTTGACTGGTATGCATACTCTGTTTTGGTTTCCTTGCAGCTCTTTAGTTTTTCATGCTGAATTTTCCTGCTTATCTTTACTCTTTTTGGTACGAAAAATACGACTACTTTGTGATTCGTCATTTAGTTGTCTCGCTTGTAATCGTCCTCTTAATGCTTGCAGTGACCTTAATTTGGATGCTTTGAGAGTGTTTAAAGACATGAACACGGTAAACGAGAAGCCAAACGCGGTAACGTACATTAGTTTGCTCTCCGCCTGTACCAACCTCCTAAACACCAGATTAGGAAAATCCATCCACACGCATATTCTCACCAACGGTATCGAGCCAAACGTTGTCTTAGAGACAGCCCTTCTAAATATGTACGCAAAATCAGCTCACTTAGACGAAGCCTTCCACGTTTTCAACTCCATCGCCGACAAAAATCTACAGTCTTGGACTGTCATGATTTCGTGCCTTGCAGACTACGGCCATGGAGAAGAAGCTGTATCTCTGTTCACAAGAATGGAAGAAACGGGCTTAAGGCCCGACAGTATGTCGTTTTCGACCATACTTTCTGCTTGTAGCCACAAAGGTCTTTTGCAAAAGGGACAAGAACTCTTCGACAAAATGGTCAATGTGTACGAGATAACGCCTACTATGGAGCATTATGGATGCATGGTTGACTTATTGGGTCGAGCTGGAAAGATCGAAGAAGCTTATCAGTTTATCGTGAGCATGCCAGTTGAGCCTAACTCTGTTGTCTTAAGGAGTTACCTTAGTGCTTGTAAACACCATGGCTGTGGTCTTTATGTGGACAAATATTTGATGCAGTTGTTACTCAAAATCGAGCCCGATCTTGGAGCAAACTATGTACTTGCTGCAACTGTATCTTCTTCTTCTAGCATGGATAATAAGATGAGAAACGACATGAAAATAAAGGGCTTGAAGAAAGTTCCTGGTTATAGTTGGGTGCAGGCTCCGGGTGGTGATTTGGACAGCGTTAGTGAATAGATGTAATCAAAAGAACCTTATATTTTAATGCATGTAGATTTGTATGAACCGCTTTTGGTCGATTTTTCTTGTTTTTCACTGATTTTAACAAGTTTTTGTTTAAGGTCCAGCCTCTTGATCACCGGCACAGACAATGACAAGAAAAACGGGACCTGCTCATGATCACTGGCTCGATGGCCAGCACACGAAGAGCAGGATAAGCTTGTAGTAGATTTTCACCGAAATGTCGGGAAAACGTAATCGTCACACAAGGTGCACAATGAAGAATCGGAAAATATTGTTCGAAAAATATCTAGCTTTCTTGTATCACTAGCCTTCGTATATTAAAAGTGGGATATACTTATCTGTATTTGGTGAATTACTTTGCGGGATGCAATTATCAAATAAATGCAGGGTATGCTATTAAATTTACCTAATTCACATCTTGTGCTATTTAAAATAAAAGTTTTTTTCCTATTAAAAATAAAAGAAGAAAAAAATAATTATCACTTTTTCCAATTGAAGGTTTTCTTACCAACCATAATTCATAAATCCTAACCAATTGTTAGCTTTGTTTGGTATTAATTACTAGGGATGCTAACTTCTTGACTTTTGACAAGATAATACCATTCATTCATATAAACAATATAATTCAATTTGCCTTCTCCTATTATATTTCTAGAACACCAAAACTTGTCCACCTCATCCCATACATAAACAACACCTAATATTACTCATTTTGGTCAACCCCTTTTATTCCCTAAACACCCCCTACACAAACAAAGCAAAGAAAATTAATCAAATGAATCAAAGTTCTTCAAATTTTCAAACTTCTAATCCTCTTAGAAGCCTCTAGACCTTAAAAATATTTCATTTTTCTCATCAAAATCCTCCATATAAAAAACCCTTTTCCCTTTATCCCTTTTCATCTCATAAACTCTCTCTCTCTCTCTCTCTCTCTCTCTCTCTCTCTCTCTCTCTCTCTCTCTCTCTCTCTCTCTCTCTCTCTCTCTCTCTCTCTCACACACACACACACACACACACACACATATAGAGGAACATGGGATCACTTGTGGGGCATGTGGTACCTGGATTTGGCTTCTTCATCATAGGATTATGGCACCTACTTAACCACACAAAACTCCATGCACTCCACCCCAAATCCTACACTTCTTCACCATGGTTCCCAACTTCAAGAATCAAATACTTGGAGCTCTACTTGATCATATTGGGTTGCTCCATGTCCATATCCATGGAGCTCTTCATCGGGCCGACCCGCCACCAACCCCTCGACCCCGACGGCACCATCCCTTCCAATCACCTCCACAACTTCGAACACTCCAACATCTCCCTCACTTTCCTCACGTACGCTCTCCTCTCAATCTTGCTCGATAAACTCGACCCGCCCGCCAAAACCGGGTTGACACACTTGCTAGCCGCGGTGGCTTTCGGGCAGCAACTCCTCATCTTCCACCTCCACTCCGCCGACCACATGGGGGTCGAGGGCCGATACCATTGGCTACTCCAAATCGCTATATCCATGTCACTTTTGACAACCCTTTTAGGGATTAATTACCACAAAAGTTTCTTGAATAGCTTTGTGAGGTCAACTAGTGTAATGTTACAAGGTGTTTGGCTTATGGTCATGGGGTTCATGTTATGGACACCTAGTCTAATACCTAAGGGTTGCTTTATGAACTTGGAGGAAGGTCATAAAGTCGTGAGGTGTCACGGCGAAGAGGCCCTAGAAAGGGCTAAGTCGTTAGTGAACATTCAATTCAGTTGGTACGTTTTAGGTGTGACGATTTTTGCAGTGATCGTTTATTTGGTTATGGTTAAGTTGTATCATGAGAAAATCGAGTACCAATCTTTATCGAAATTCGTATTGGATGACGACCGAGATGATGTTGAGGCACAAAAGAAGGCTAATAATAATAAGATAGAGGAGCCAAAGAGTTTTCTTCAAATTGGGAGATCATAATTAAATATTACTTACTTGATTGTTAATATTAAGCTAAGATTAGTGTGGGTTTGTAATTAAAGTACAATAGTAATTAAGTTGTCTCATGTCAAATGTGTGAAAGAAAAAGGGAGTGGTGTGGTGTGAATTTGGTTTGAATTTATTACTTTTAGGTTGTGAATTATTAGCATTTTGTGATTTGTTTGTACACCAAAGAAAAGTAATTCCATTTTTTTTTAATCGTCTTTTCAAATAATGTTTTAAATATATTTAAAACTCGTTTGGTTGTCGATATATGATTAATCAAAATAAAATTATATAATCTTGTGAAAAACTAATTAAGTAATTATATAATTAACTCGTTTGGACTAAATTGATAGTATATATATAATATGATTTACATGGTCCCACCTTGTCAGATATAAAATTAATGGCGTCTGGGTATAAAAGTCTATCTTTCAAAATTGAATTATCTAATGCCATCATTTTTTTACCGGTAACTATATATTAAGGCCTGTTGGTTAGATCAGTTAATATAAAATTAAATAATTTAATGAAACTCAATTATATAATTGAACATTCGATAATTCAATAAAATATAAATTTAAACAACAAAATAATCTATGATAATATAATATGTGGGTTGATCCAGCAAACTATCGAGATACTTTACATCAAACAAAGTTTAATTATTTAGTTAATTATAGGGCGCAACTAATTTTCCAAACAAACAAGTCCTAAAATGAATAAAAAATTGACATTTCTTCGATTTACTGATAGTCAAAGCTTACATAGATTATTTTATATTATACTTATATTTATTTTATTAAAATGAAAAATCTAGAGCAAATTTATGATGTTTGGTAAAAAGCGACCACATATTTGAAATAGAACCAAATTCGTAACAAATAAAAGTTTGACACGTTTTGTTGTTCAATGGTCATTTATATTCATTTTTATTGAATATAAAATCATGATTATATATACACAAAACTAGCATTTAATAATAATAAGGGTAAATTACAAACACCCCCTGAGGTATCGTCAAATTACAAAAACACCCCTCTTGTTTGGATAATTACAACCACCCCCTCAACTCCTCAAATTTAGTGGAATCTTCGAGATTATATGGAATATTATCACTTTTGCACCCGTTTTATCCCATTCAAACTCTACATTATGAAGCAAGATGATCATAATATGTGATTTTTAACTTGTATATATCAGTTTGTGGTGCATCAGAAACTGTATTTTTACACAAAACGAATACAAACTAGAGCACATTTCACGGAATCTAGATGATTATGTTGAATTTGGCACCATAACGGTGGAGGTGTAAGAAAAAATCATAGTTGAGGGGGTAGATGCAATTATCCAAACAAGAGGGGGTTTTTGTAATTTGACCATACCTCAGGGGGGTGTTTGTAATTTACCCTAATAATAATAATAATTAAATAAATAATTTGTTCTACTGACCGGCCCAATTTTAAATACTTTTTATTGGGCCTTTAATTTGTAATAGGGGGCCCAATTGTGTACTCTTTTTGGGGAAAATTTTCAATTCACAGTTTGTATTGGGCGACTCTCTCTCACTCTCTCTCTCTCTCTCTCCTCTCTGGCTTTCTCTCTCTCTTCTAAGTATGTTTCTGGAATTTGTCATCACATAAAGAAGCAGTAATCAGCAGTGGAGGAATAAGAATTGCAGAATTCATTTGCTGCATATTTTATATTTACATAAAATTGGCCAGTGAAGAATTGAAAATTTTCCAGTATTTATTCATGTAATGATCGGAGGTGTTAGGTATACAGCCACTACGTTTTCTGCTCGGCGGCGGCGGCGTTAGTTTAAATGGAACCAGAAGAAGAGCCGGAGCACAAGCGCCGCCATCTCGACAACAACGGCTCTTCAATGGCTCGCCACTCTTCTTCTCCTCCTCCTCCCGACGACAACAAACCTGTAATAAACCTCCCCTTTTTTTCTTTTTTTTTTGTTGTTGTTGTTGTTCATGAATTTGTCTTTATTTTCAGTTGTTTCTATTTCTTGTGCTTAATATTGAGGTAGGTCTATGCGGTATTGCGGTTAGAGATGGGATTTCGTTTTCTTATTTATGGGGAAGGTAATTATAACTGGTAGAGTGTTTCAATATTTTGGGATTTGGTTGAAAATGGAGTGTATTAGGTCTATAAAAGTGTGGTGATGCTATCTGGTAACTTATAAGTATTGTTGTGGAGTTAGGAACAAGGTGGATGTGCCCCTACAATGATGAGATCTTTTTTTATTTTTCTTCACTTTTGGTGCTTTCTATTTTAAATTGTAATCGACGAACATAACTTGATCGGGATTCACATGCGAACCGTTCTATGTTTTTCGAAATCCTATTTAGAATATTCATAGGGTTATTGGAGAAGAAAATTTGGAGATTTAGCTTCCACCTATTTGATGAAACTTGGAGACTTTATCTCTTAGTAAGTCTTGTTGTTCTCCTGCAAGGATACTCTAGTAGCAAAAGTCCACTGCCTGAACCACTGAACTTACGTCTGAAAGTTGTAGTAATTCCCTTGTTAAGTAAATGAGTTTTGGAAATTTGCATTTTAGAGTTAAGCGAGAATGAACCTTGTTCGTTAATGATGTTAGAGATGGGGTTAAATGGAAGGTCAAAGCCATTTTGCATTCGAATCCTTACATTGTCATTATAATTTTGGATATCAGCTTATTTCTATTCAGAGAAGTTTTCACTATTGCAGTCTCTATCCTGTGATGTTTCTTGGTCCCCAATGCTTACCACTCGTTGCAAACACAAAACATGTTATTCCCTTTACCTTTTGCTAGGTGTATTTGGCAACTTCCTAGAGTAAATTAAATGAGCTTAGTATAACCTTGGAAAATGAAATTCGGGTGAGAGATTGTACCATAAGTTATGTTGCTTCTTTAATACGGCTCAGACATTTACATTTGTCTATGTTTCTCCTGAAAATGAATTTCTTAATTATGTTCTGATTACATATCTAAGTTGATTTTGGTCTCTGTACAATAAATAAGTAAAGTCACATCTCTTATCTGGCAGGTTGATACTGCAGTTCTTCAATACCAGAACCAGAGACTTGTACAACAGTTAGAAACACAGAAGCAAGAGCTACATAATCTCGAATCCAAAATCAAAGAAGTAAAAGAGAAACAAACTTCATATGATGAAATACTGATAAAAGTGAACCAACTCTGGAACCAGGTTACTCATACATGTCTCTTTCTCCTATAGTTTGTGTTGTTTAATTGTGTGCTATGTGCATGAATAACATCCTTTAGTGGCTGACTGGAACACTTTGTGTAGTTGATTGACGATATAATTTTACTTGGAGTACAAGCTGGGGCTGACCAAAGTTCTTTGCAAATTTTGGATCATGCTAAATTTTCTCGAGGTGATGTTTGGATTTGACTGGTTCTATATTATTATATTATATGTGTTTATATGTATATAATCAAGATACTGACATCACTTTAGGCTCTATTCCATCATGTCCTGCGGAGTATATATTTCTTTGTAGGGTACTAGAAACAGGTGCTATTGAAAGCAGCAGAAATGATGGATCAATTGGTTATGTTAAAGAAGCTCTTGCATCACGTCAGACCTCTACAAGAGAGTTGATGAAATTACTTGAAGATGCTATTGATTCTCAGAGAGCCAAGTTTGAGGGCATAGCTCAGAATTTACTTCAGAAACCATCTTCAGAAGGTTATGAGTTCTTGACAAGGAGGATTATAATCTAGTCTCTGATCGGTTTGTCAATTGGTGCATAAATATCTGTGCATGTAGACATGGTTCCACACACTTAAAATGTGTTTTAACATTGTTCAGTAAAATTTGATACTCTATTTTAACTGATGATCTTTCAGATGCTGTTATCCAATGGCGCGAGCTTGATGATTTAATCACAGAGGAGACTAGTCACCTCCATGCGGTGGTTGATGTGCTTCACTTAAAGCACAAGCACTATGCTGATGAGATTCAAACTTGCATTGACAACCATTCAGTTGATCAGCTTGAGATAAAACGGCTTGCTGGTAGTGATTTTTTTCCATACATATATGTATATATATATATATATATATATATATATATATATATATATATATATCTGTGTGTGTGTGTGTGTGTGTGTGTGTGTGTGTTCACCATGCACTGAATAATAATATTGTAGATTCTCAGCTCCAATTTTCGACTGATTTTTTGGTATGAGATGGATATCTATATGAAGTATATATTTTGAACTTAATCGTTTATATGACTAATTTGCATAATCATATTCTTTTTGAAGGAGAGCTGGAGGAGAGCATGGCCGAACTTGAAGAAAGTAGAAGAAAACTAATTAATCTGAAAATGCAGAAAGATGGGGTTTCTAGCATGCAGGTCCCAATTCCTATTCCGGTTATAGTTCCTAATGTTGCAAACGGAAACGCTTCTCCTGAAAAGCCTGCCGATAGGTCGAAGCGTTTACGAGAACTGAAAGAATCTATTGAGGAGATAAAGGTTCTCGTCCTTTGAATCACTCTCCACAACTCCCTCACTTGCTCTAGCCCTCTCTATACTTTTATGATGAATGTCAAAGTTACATATTGATGTAGGTACTAGCAGAGGATCGGCTTTCTGAGCTTCGTGATGCACGGGAGGACAACTTAATTCTGTCAAATCAACTGCAGCATCTTCAGGTTCTAAATGGTGTTTTTTGATGTACACGTAAATTAGTTCATAATGATGTAAGTAATCTCACTTTCATTGTTTTCTTTGTGTAGAACGAACTGAAGGAAGACAAGTATGTTTATGCATCTCGCCCTTACTCCTTGGCAAATGATCAGCTTCAACACTGGAATGCTGAGGCAGAGCGTTATAAAACATTAGCGGAGTCTTTGCAAGTAAGCTATGTCCTAATATGGTTTAATAATGTTATTCAACTCTCCAGTGTTTGCTAAAAACAAAAATGTAGGCTGAAAGGCCTTTCATCGTGCGAAGGGAAAAAGACTTGATTGCAAAAACAGAGTCTTTAGAGGCTGCAAGGGCTGCAATATATATTTCCGAGACAAAGGTTGAAGAACTAAAGAATCAGCTGCAAACCTGTGTCATCGAGAAGAATGAGATGGAGATGAAAATGGAAGAATCTCTTCAAGATTCAGGTTGATAAACTACTACTTCACTTATGACTGCTGTATTGGTGCTTACAAATTACAATCAAGTAAGAACACCATGTATTTTTCAGGAAGAAAAGATATCAAAGACGAGTTTCAGGTAATGGCATCAGCTTTATCAAAAGAAATAGCAATGATGGAAAGCCAATTGAACAGGTGGAAACAAACAGCTGATGAGGCTCTCTCCTTGCGCGAAAAAGCCCAATCACTCAGTGCCTTACTAGACTCAAAGGTTTGCTTTGTACTATTCCACTATCGTTTGCTGTCTTGGATCAGCATTTTGTTTTTGACACAGAAATGCTTGGTTGTGTTCCCCCTTTTATACACATAGCTTTTCACATAGGGGCTGGGAGTCATCTAGAAGGGGCTAGGTGAACGGTCAAAGAACTCGAATCCTCTGATTGCCATTATATGGTTTGCCTTCAGAAACTAAGTTAAAAGCCCCTCATAAACTTAAAGAAACTAGAAAACTTGCAAATGGTGACTCGCATCAAAACATCTAGACAAATTTTATCGTTGAACTGATATTCTATTTTGATTGCTCATATAGATTTTGTTGTTGCTTCTCAAGATAATTATGATAATTTATTTGTAGATCCATTTGTTGAAGTATAAAATCCCATATTCTCATGTACAGCTTATTGAAAATATTTAGTTACAGTTCATATTCTATCTCGACATACTACTTTTGTAATTTCTTCAAGTCATCTATTGTATTTGCTGGTGAATTGTATTATTTGTTCTCAATTGAGATTTCTTATTCTTGCTGACAGACTACTGAATTGAAGAATTTGTCTAACGAATGTGCTCGGCGGACGGAGGAGATCAAGTCTTTAAAGGACATTGTATGTGTCTACACTCTACCCTCATCATCGGATCTTTTATATCTTGTAACCTAAAAGCATATAGCCATTGATTTTCGAGAATTGAATTTGCAGACTGAGAAAATGCAGAAGGAAAAGCAAGAGCTGGAAATTTTCTTGGATATGTTTGGTCAGCAAATTTATCATAATAGGTAGCTTTTAGTCCAGTATATTCATGTGTATAACTGTTGTTGCACGTTCAAAATAAATCATTGCATACACACAAATTCCTCACTCTTCGTTTGGATCTAACTTTTTCTATGAAAGAGACTTGACGGAGATCAAAGAATCCGAACGTAGAGCTCACTTACAAGCTGAAACTTTGAGGAATGCATTAGAGGAACATAGCTTGGAATTGAGAGTCAAAGCAGCTTATGAAGCTGAGTCAGTGTGTCAGCAGAGGCTTTGTCTTGCTGAAGCTGAAATGGCTAAATTAAGGGCTCAGTTAGATGGTGCTGACAGGTTCGTTTTCTTGCTTTTTCTTATGCATGCCTTTGCTTATTTATCCTGAGTTAGATGGTGCTGACAAGTGGAAAAGGAACATGCCACCTTTTCCTAACTGATATTATAAGCTATTTTGTTTGTTCCATATTGCTACTTCATGCCCTCCTATACAAAGGGGTATTTGATATGAAATAAATAGTACAGTAGGGTAAAATGGAGTTTACTCTCATATTGTGAGTCTGTGACCGCATTGGTTATTAATCTCATCTGCATTATGATGATAACTTCTATAATTTAATCTTGAATTTTTGAAGCGGAAGGAAATGAAAATGGTCTGATTTTTCTGTCATTAAGATTTCTCCTCATCGGAGTTGTGTGACATGAGAAGTTGAAATAAAATTTTCAATGTATTAGAAGTACACTAATTTACAAGACGATCAAATCTTTTAAGGAAGAAAAAAGAAAACTGAAAACTAACTAAAGGGAATAAGTAAAGCAAGATGAAGTATGTTTTTGTTATTTCAAGAGATACACAGGGAGGATCTAAATCTGTGGTCTGTGCTTTAACTTTTCCATCTGAATCGATTCACCCTCTTTTTGCAAGTTCTCACACTCTATAATATTTTCGAGAAATAGTCTTACATTATGTACTCGCAGAGATGTTTTAGAGGTTAAAGAAGCCATCGCAATCAAAGAAGCAGAGTCAGAGTCCTATATATCTGAAATTGAGGTGACAATTTTGTCCTTTTAGAGGATGTCTCTTAATTATGCTCGTTATTAAGCAGAATTCATTATGTCTCGTCTGTTAGCATCTTTATGGCGCTTTTGTTAACCATGCAAAGTCTACCTACAGACTATTGGTCAATCCTACGAAGACATGCAGACTCAAAACCAGCATTTGTTGCAGCAAGTGACTGAAAGGGATGAATACAATATAAAGGTTTGAGTTAAATATAGCCTTTTTCTTATTTGGCGATTTTATAATCTACCTTTTACTTGTTAAGCGGCGCAACAAGTTTTTGTATTATTCATTATTTGTGGTTTTGTTTTGCAGCTGGTATCTGAGAGTGTGAAAGCAAAGCAATCACAGAGCATATTACTCTCTGAGAAACAAGGGTTAGAAAAGCAACTTCAACGCCTTAATGGATCTCTTGAATCTTTGAAGTCGAGGATAGCTCAAAGTGAGGAGCAGGTAATTAGTTTATCTCGAAGTCAAGCAATCCCGTTTTTATTTTTTTATTTTTTATTTTTTTATTTTTTTATTTATTTTTAATTTCAAATTACCTCTTTAAAACCAAAATAAAACTTGCAGATGAAACTTCACCACCAAGAAACTTTAAGTTCCATTCAAGAAGACAGGCACATGGCAATGAATCTCGAAGCTACAAAGTGGGAATTAGCAGATGCAGAGAAAGAACTGAAGATGCTGAAATCCGCTGTATTATCATCTGAGAAGGAACACGAACAGATTCAGCGAAACGTAGATGAAATCCAAATCGAATTAGATAATGAAAGGTAAATCTCGATTTGCTTATCTGTCTTGATTGGATTAAAATACAACATACTATATTATAACTTGTGTCGTGATTTATTGGTTTTTTCTATGCCTTCCATTAGTAGCCAATTTTACATCCGTTAGAGAAAGGTTATAATCTTGTATAAAACGGTCATAATAATACAGAAGCGAGCGAAAGAAGCTTGATGAAGAAGTGATGGAGGTGAATAGAACAATAGACGAGTTGACTTCCGAAAACGGCGAGGCTGCAATACAGAAACTCCAGGAAGAGATTAAAGATTGCAAAGGTGTACTCAAATGTGGGGTGTGTTTTGATCGGCCCAAGGAGGTAATCTCACGAACCCTCTGCTAATTAATTAAATAAATAGACTTGTGGTGAAATATTTGGAAAATTCATCGTGTCGATGCTGAAAGAAAAGCGGAATTCATTTCAATAATGGCAGGTTGTGATAGTGAAGTGCTTCCATTTGTTTTGCAATCAATGCATCCAAAGAAATCTCGAAATCAGGCATCGCAAGTGTCCCGGCTGTGGAACTGCGTTTGGGCAGAACGATGTTCGATTCGTAAAGATTTGAGAAGGGAGTTGTTTCATTACATGTTTCCTACTAAAGTATTTGGTTTAAGGTTAGATAGAGATATATTATATATAGGCTGCTGTCTCCATTAATCTTGGAGATCTTTAGTGGGAGAAGTTCAGTAGGAATTTTTTATTTATTTAAAATATATATATGTTGTATTAAAAGCTTGTAAATTACTAAAGTAGAGTTTGAGAAAAATGCTATTGTTGGTATTTGTCAATTTATCTTTATGAAACTGGCATTTTTTTTTATTAAAAAAAAAAAAAAAAAAAAGACATGAAAAAAAAAGAGGAATTTGATATGATGAGTAAATGTAAATGAAGGATGTTCCACGCACCCCCAAAAGTTGAAACCTTATCCACTATGAAACTATTTTAAATATCTTTAAATATCCCCCGTGTAAATGACAATTTAGTCCTTGTTTGGATATACTTCATTTTGGATGGATAGATCATAGATACATATATACATATAATACTGTGATTTTTTTATACATTTTGGATATACAGTACATTATTATTATTTGTAATATTTATTTAAAAACTATAAAAAGAAAAAAAACAATCTTGGCAGCTGAATCATTAGGAAGAAATACCAGAAACCTTCTCTGCTACAGAAAGATATCTCATTCATATCAACATGCTTCTGCAAACCACCACCTCCGCCACCGCCACCGCCACCGCCGCCGCCATCTCAGCGGCGTTCACATCACCATTTCAGTACTCCGCCAAGAATCTGAGCTCAAATACTCCATTATCTCTGCCCAAAACTCTATTCTTACCCCTTCTTGATGGAAGATACTATCTGGGAAGCAAATCAAGAAACAATAATGGAGCATCTGTAATTACACCGCGTGCCACCATGCTCGAGACTCCGATTTTGTGGGCCGGTCGCCTCTGCATTTTCTATGCTCTCTTAAAAACCGGATTAGCTGGATCTCCCACTAATCCACTTCTTTCAGGTACATATATATATAGCTTTCTCCGATGAAAACGATGTTTTTAAACCGCTCTTTTTATCTCCGTGAAAAAAAATTAAGGCATTTTTCTTTTGGTTTGAGATTTGATTTTATTAATTTTTTTTTTGGTGTAGATTTGGAAACTGGAGCTCCGGATTTGGGGTTTTCAAAGTGGTTTGACAGGTTAAGCAAACCAGGTTTGTGGGCTTTCTCCGATTTCGTAGGATAGCTACATTTGTTGTTTTAATCCATACTTTGTTTGTTCTATGTTGTTTATGTGAGAAGAACAGTGCTCTGAATGGATTCTTATTTGTCGAAATATTTGATATCTTCACTGTTTCAAGAATGGTGTTAATTGTGGGATGAACTGTCGTTTACGTGCCGTTTTTTGGTATGCTTTAGAGTGAGATCGATGCTTAACTTTGCTGCCGTTCGTTTCATAGCGTGAGTACAAAACTAGATTCGATTACACACGTATGCAAATGGTAGCGATTTTCTTACGTAGGATTTTAAAACACTAGTTGATGTTTCGTTTGATAATGCAAATAATAATGACCGATACAATCCGATTTGTTTTAACTTTGTTCAGAGAAAGAGGCAGCCGACAGAAGAAAATTAGTGAGCAAATGGCATCCTACGACAAAGGGTACACTCCGGCGACATTACAGAATTCATTCTAAATCCGAAGGTAGGCGTTTGCTTAAAGCCATCGCATCCTTACTGTCGGACGATGATCAGTTTCGAGATGCCACTTCCCACAAGGTAATTAAATAATAATTCTCTTTTGTCTTTCAACTTACCTTAATTTGTGTTATAGCTCTTGCATCTTCTATTTCTTCGGGTTTCTTTAATTTTCTTTTTTTTTGCAGGGGTGTCAAATTAGGAGGGAAAATGCTCATGGAGAAACCGTGTGTTGTAACAATGTCCGGGCCTTGTTCGATGAGCTCCCCACGCCACATTTGATTGTTGAGATAACGCCTTTTCCTGCGGGCCCACTTGCAGAAAACGATTACTCGAAAGCTGAGAGACTAGAAAGGGTGCTTCGTTCCGGTCCTTCTGTTTGAACTTTTTTGCTTTTTTGGCAACCCTTTTTGTATGGATCTTAATAATGCCACCTCTTATTTGTAAATACTAACCATGAATAGAGAGGAACTTGCTCGGATTTGGCTAAATTTCAAATGTCTCGTATCGATATTACATGTAGACATGCAGAAATTTATTCATCGAACTGAGAATTTCAAACAAAATGAAATAAAGTAACAAAGAGGATACAAGTTTCACAACGTGCTTGTTATATCCGAAATAGAGAGACGTAAATATCAAGACAAACTATAGATCAACAGCTCAAAACTGTTTCTGAAGACTGCTTTCTCAAACTCTATGCGGCTAATACAAACAGAGCACTTAAAATAAAACTCATTTCACACCGACTGAAGCCATCAGATCATCATACTCCGGATCAGTTTCACCGTGCACCCGCGCTGCATTATTACTGCCCATTTGAGGATTGTTACTAAAAGTCGTTGAAGTAGGTGAGAAAGGATCATACGTTTGCTGAACACCAGAAGAGCTAGAAAACGGCCTTCCATGGTTATTACCAAATTGCTGATGTGGCGGCATCGGTTGAGGTCTCTGCGGGTGCATTGCTCCAAGATGGTGATTTACTGGTCTGGGAGGAAAAGGACCAGAGTTGTTGTTACTATTCATAGGAATAAAGTTCCTTGGTTGTTGCATATGTGGCAACATCGCATGCCTAGGTGGCATTTGTGGGCCCGTTGGACTTCCGGCAAAGTTTGTAGGCATTGGTTGATGACTCATCTGAGGCCGTTGGAAAGCGGGACCACCCGGGGGAGAATTCAGAGGCACCATAGGTCTCAAGAATGGAGATTGAGGCCCTGTTTGAATTGGTCTTACATTGTGATGATGTGGTGGTTGACTATTTTGCCAAAACTGAGGAGCTGCATTCGGTGGTTGTCGTTGGGGCTGAAAAGTAAAATCACTAGAAAGAGGTTTTACAGGATCGAAATTTCTACCGTTTCCAGAGAATGGATTGGGCAGTGGCCGAAATTGTTGGCTTGGTGAAAAAATCATATTGCTAGGGTTACTCGGCTGTGACGCTCCAGAAACGGACATATTCTGCGGGTGCATAGCATGATGTCCGTGGGAAGGAACATTCTGAGGATTCATTGGTCTGTCAGAAAATGATGTTGTAAGAGGAGCAGATTGAGGTGATGGGGATATTATCGGTCTTATATTATGAGGGGGTGCTTGTTGCAAATACGAGGGTAGCTGAGGTCTGGAGAGAAAATTCGAAGGATTTTGCGGAACAGGACTGAAACTTGGAGGTAAGACTGGCTGTGGGCCGAATAGTGAAGGCATGTTTGTGGGATTAAAAGGCGAAGAAGGTACTTGGACAGTGTTGTTGAGTAACGGTGCAGAAGAATTTGTAGGGGAGACTAATCGAGACTGTGGATATGTTGGAGTATGAGCGGGACCCGCAGAAAACCATGGTTGAGGATATTGACCTTGAGGAGGTGGTAAAGAACCGGGATATGGTTGAGCTGTTCCTTGGTTTATCGGTGTGGGCCCTACATTGGAGGTAGGCTGGTTTTGACTCGATTGAGCATTGACTTGATCATCAGAAACTGCATTCGATGTTGTCGAAGAAGACACTGGATTCACCTAACAACACAAAGCATAAATAGTATCAACATAACAGACAAAGAACAAAGTAAAAAAAGTTTTGATTTAGGGGGGGTGTAGAACATACTGAAACTGGGGTGACTAAAAGTTCGATCAATGACACAGCTGCATCGATTTTCTCAAATGTGTCGGCTGATACATGTATATACAGATCTTCGTAAGCATCGTCTATTTCTTTTCCATCAGTAGGAGTTACTTGAACCTAAAAACAACAGAAGAAAGGATATAGTTAGCAAGTATGAATAGTATGAAATAGTTTTCTAATGTCTTATTTACCTTCATTCCCGTATCGGCCTTTGTGCCATAAACTTGTATCTTAGCCCCCGTTTCCTGATTTACATGGTTATCATCCAAGATCAAGGAAAACATTTTAAGTTACATGCGTTTGTATAATTTTGTCAGCGATATGGATGAAACACACAACAATAAATACGTACGTACCTTCTCCAGTCGCTTATGAGTATCACTTGCAGAGCCAAATACTAAACCAATAAAATTGTACCCGGGATACTCTTTGATCTGCATTGAGAGACATACGCATATTCTTAAGCAACTCCCACTTCATTTAATATTTCACCCACAAGAATTGCAAAATTCTCGTTAATTAAACGAGCCTGTAAAATGCATGTAAAGACGTACACTCACAGGAATTGGAACTTTTGCCTCTTTTAAAATAGGTTTGTAATCAGCAGGAGCCTTATAGGTTGGGTTTAACTTTAATATTTCACCTGTAAACAGATACAAAAACGACTAAATTAAAGTTATGAACGACAATAGTTGACAAATATCAGCAGAAATCTACTTCTTCATACCAATAATTTCACGTCTTTCAAGTTCCAGCAGTTCAGAATCCTACAATCCGTATATATACATCGAGTAAATACCATGAAATTAAAAGAATTTAAAAAGAGATAAGAAAAAGTGTCCCGAAAAATCAGCTGACCGACCTTCTTGCTAAGCTGATGATCTGATGTCTTCTCGTATTGAAATTCAGATGTCGATAACGAGTCTTTGTTATCTTCAAGTTCCAGGGCCCCTAGAGTCAGCTGTTGTGATATTTGATTGATCCGAGTCTGTCGAAAATTTGTACCACCACAAAGGCAGTAATATCATCACTACTTAGGCACCTCGATTTGAAGTTGACGGGAGCCACTCACAAAGAATACACTGACATTTTTGCACCCAATTTGAAAAAGGAAATTCTTAAATTGCACCGAGTAGTTAAATTGGGACTACAAATTCATGTAACCTACTATAAATCCCAACCCTACTTACCCCAAAAAAAATCTCCAAATGTAAAATACCAAAACTCGGAGAAAAAAAAAGAAGGTAAATATAGCACGAATACATAAAACTACGAGAGCTCTTCAGGAAAACTACAGGGCAAATACTTTAAAAAAGGAAAGCTGAATCCCATATATACCTGATATGCCAATGCTCTACCTTTTCGAACAGTGTTATCCGCGGCTGGATCGGGTCCCCATTTGGTTTTCCTCTGCACCTGATTAGTAGCTTCCTCTTTCCCCACATCAGCATCTGCTTTTTTAGTGCCTCGAGAAAAAGGAACCAACGAACCTGATAGCTTGTTTTTCGGGATGACGAATCCTATCTTTTTTGCAAACATAGACGTTTTCGGGGTAGTTGCTAACGATGTGGATGAAGGAACCGTTGCAGTATTCTGAATATCAACAGACGCATGCTTAGTCTCTGTGTCCATCTTGCTCGGCAAGCGTGCTTCACCCATCACTCAAACATAACGAAACAACGGCTGCGTATATGAATCATTATTAGTGTAATAGCACTATATACAAAAACGAATATGCATTCCACTGTTCCTCTTTCTCACCCATCTCGTGAAATCAACGAACCAAACGCCATTTATGTTTTCTTGTCAAAATAATCGAGACGTCAAAATACGGACTGTAACAACAAAGTATCCATGAACATGTGCTCCGAATGTGCAATAATCGAACCCAACAAAATCCAAACCCAGACAATCATAACTACAAAATTAACACTGATGAGCTACGAATTTTAGATTAATCAACACCTCCAAATTGCAATAGTTAATTCCGAATTGCCGACGAAACCAGACAAATCATAACTACAAAATTAAATAATAATTCCTCCTTTCAGCTACTCTAATCCTCTTAAAAAATGAATGAAAAAAGAAGAAGAAATACTTCTCATATATAAATTCATTTCCCCACCAAAAAAATCCCATAAAGATAAAACGATCACAAAACTTTTGACCATATACACATATCTTATAAACAAACAAGGTAGGTATATATACATACCTGAAGGAACTAGATTGAAGTGCGCAGAGCGTCTGTATGGTGAAATATATACGTATACGAAAGCTAGATTGTCTGTATAAAATACAATGGAGATCAATTAGGAAAATTCTTGAGGGTTTTTGCAGAGAAAATGTGATTTTCTGCTTACGATTTTCTCTCAATTTGAAACATTGGGGTTTTAGGGATTTTTCTGTTTTTCTTTTTTTCTTTTTTCTTTTTCACCATGCTTAAGGGCGTGTTTGGTAGAAGGCCAATAAAAACAGAAAATCACATTTTTTATTAAATCAAAATAAGAGTCAAGTTAAATATATTTTACACAAAAAAAAAATCACATTTTTATTATGCTATAAAATTCAGTAAATTGAAAAAATAAAATTAAATCGAAATATAATATTTTGTCTTAAAAATGAAATTAATAATGATGCGTAAGAACTGATGCACTCAACCCATAAAGGCCCAAATTATGTTTATAAAGTTCCTATATTTGTTGGCCCTAATAATTAAAATTTGAGCCCAATATTATTTCAAGGGTCTATTAGATATAACCCCCTTAAATATTTAAATAATAGGGGTAGATCCAAATTTATATTTGCCATTTTGATAACAGCCCAAACTTTTTCTAATTACATAATTACCCTCAATCAAATCCCACAAAACCTGTTACTTTACCTATTGAAATAAAATCAAATCCCTTCCTATTTTCCCGTTAAATCATTATCATCCCAAACCCACTATCGAATAAACTGCAAAACCTCCCGGAACAACTTTCCGATACGGTCGATTGAAAGGGGAAGACGTCTGCACTGCCGTGAAACGACGATTTTCGTGCACTCCGAGCAAGCTGTCGTAGGTACGTCGTCGCCACTCGCTGAATCGCTATCATCCATCGATTTGTTGATATGTTTTGGCTAAATCGACTATTACGTTTGAGTAATTGCAAATCTATTATAATCGCATACCGAATTCGAGCACTAAATCAGTGATATTGCAACAATTGATGGGCAGGACATCCACCAGAAGTGATATCGTCGTTGTCCGTCGCCGTCGCCGTCGCCGTCACTGCTCCAATCTAGGGTTACTCAAATCTAGGATTACTCAAATCTAGGGTTTTGATAATTCTTCGGCCCATAGTTGATTAACGAGTCATAGTCGAATTACATCTGTATTAATATACTATCCCATATCATTTAATAGACTATCCCACTGGTATAATTTTACTATGGATCTCGTTAATCGACTATGGGCCGAAGAATCGTCAAAACCCTAGATTTGAGAAGTGACGGCGGCGGATTTGTGTTTTAAAATTAATAGACTATCTCATATCTTTTAATAGACTATCCCATGTATCTAATTCGACTATGGGTTTAGTTAATTGACTATTGGAAAAATAATAATATATATGGAAACTGAATAATATGTTTGTTTGAAATATTAATCAATTAGGGTAATTTTCCTTATTATATGAAAACGATTAAGGTAAATAATAATATATATGAAAAAATAATAATATATATGGAAACTGAATAATATGTTTGTTTGAAATACTAATCAATTAGGGTAATTTTCCTTATATCATGTAATAAACTATCTTATTGATCTAATTCGACTATGGATCTCGTTAATCGACTATGGATCCCGTATTATTCAACCACATAGTATATTAATAATTTCAATATAGTACATTGATCTGCTATGATAGTATATATTACGGTTATAGTAGTGATATGAATTGTGTTACAAACAATATACCACTCAAATGACAAGAACATTGAGAACAACACCAACGTAAAGTATTCCAACATAACCAATAAAATAGTACATTAATAATCTCATAATTTCAATCTAGGGTTTTAATAAAATACATAAAACACATCATAACACAATCAAACTAATATGTCAAGTTAAAAAACTCTAGTACATTAATAATCTCATAATAGTATAATAAAATGATAATGGTAGTATCATACGGTATTCATAATAGTATACTACTGTATTACAACGGTTTAAAACTTAACCGAAGTTACCGAGCCATTACATCGTAAACACCTCTTTATAGCAACCAACCCACCAAACCTCAACAAAATCCGTACGAAATTCGCCATCGAAAAAACCTAAAATCATGAAACAAAATTAAAAATGCAGAATACTAAAAAATGATTAAATAGACTGCAAATACTTTTGAATGACAATACATTAATATCATTTAAAATAAACTTAAAATGCAAAATCCATACGCTAATTTAAAAAAGACTACGAACTATATTTTAATGTACTACCCAACACACTTAATCGGCTGTTATAAACAAATAAACCAACTATCGACCGGGATCCGACTCATGAACTCCACGACAGCAGGCAGTTATTTCAATTAATGCGTAAACCAACTACGACTGTTCATATAAAACAACTCTGGTCCGATATGCGTGAACCATCCTCATCTAACTTTCTCAATCCTCTTCCAAACAAACGTCATCCGCCAAAAAATAACGATGTATATATGACGGAATAATTTTGTTAAAAAACGTTCTACTTAATAGAATCAAGTATCAACACAACTCTTAAAAATTTGTAACCACCGTAATCGACAATCCTAGACATTGAGCGAAAATAAAACGAATAACGCATTCATACCCGGTTAACAACGTCCAACAACGAACGCTCAAATTCGATCATATTTCAACGACGGTGCATAAATCTTCAAAGACGATAAAAAACCGCTGGAACGCTGAAGAGAACCTTCGAAAAATATTGTACACGATTTGATATAACGGCCAATGATCTCACGTAATTTTATTCCGTGATTTTAGGCAATGTATCAGCAAATCTCAAATCACGTAGTAAAGGAAATAAATGCCGTTTAAAAATAAAACAGGGGTGTTAAAGGCAAATTATATAATATATTTTGCCAAGTTGGCAAAATTGGGTCTATCTCAAAAAGGAGAAAAAAAATTGAATCTACCTCATTAGAAAATATGAACAAGGGGTTTATCCCTAATAAACCCTTATTTCAATCCAATTTCTTTGGTAGCTCAATTAGCTTATTCAAATTTCCATCGATTTATCAATAGAAGACTAGCAAAATAACAAAGAAATCGTATACTATAGCTCACGTTTTTATTTTTTGCCAAAACTAGCTAAAATTGTCGCACAAAAAAAATAGTTTTGAACACTCAAATGTACAACTATGAATATACTTATTCATATTTGGTCAAGAAATAGTTCACCTAAATTCGATTTTACTAGTTTTCCACTAGTCGAGAAAATCACTAAAAAAATGTGTACAATAACACACATTTTTTGCTAAAAATAGCATAAGTGGTCTTTTTTTCAAAAAAATAAATTTTGACACTAAAATATATAGAAATGAATATTTGAATTAATAACTTAGTTAAAAAATAGCTCATCTAAGTTCGGTTTCACTAATTTTTTACCAGTCGAGCAAAATCTCAGAAAATCGTATACAAGCTCAAGTTTTTTTTTTTGATGTAATGTTGTCCTACTTTGAGAGTTATTATGAACGCTCCATTTATAGAAGAAATCTTTCGGATACCTTTGATTTATCCAATTCAATTATTCGGGACATTTCTAATCCAAGATATTTTCTCGAACCCTAAATGTCTAAGTTATGAGGTGGCACCTACTACTCTCAGTTATATATATAGGAAGAATAGAATATGAGAGAAATAATAATACGTGATAGAATAGAAGCCCCCATTGTGTTATGTGTTGATTACATGGAATATATATAGAGAAATATTGCAAGGTAATATAGTTTGACTAGGTAACTAAATCCTAACTAATCTAGGTAACCGAATCATACTAGAATCCTAATATTATGAGAGTTCGAAAATATAATATTCTCTAACACGCCCCCACAGTCGAAACGTGACGAACGTGAAGACTGGACAATCACTTGCTAGCACGCTCCCGCAGTCGGAACGAATAAACTTCAAAAGTGAAGACTGGACAGAAACAGCGAATCACAACGCTAGAGAATTCCTCTGTGGAAATATCAAGAAGAAGATGTCGGAAAGAAGAAAAAAAATACAAGTTACCACCACCGGAGGAGGGAGAAAATTGGGGTGGTGGTCGTCGGCCATGGAGAAGAAGAGAGGCGACGGGGCCATGGAGAAGAAGAAGAAGAAGAAGAAAAAGATAGAGAAGATGCACCACCGAGGGAGAGGGAGAAAATTCGGGTGTTCATAGAAAGATAGAAAAGAAAAAGATAAATATTAGAGTACCACCACTGGGGGAGGGAGAAAATCGGGTGGTCACCGCCATGGAGAAGAAAGGCGGCTATGTTAAAGAACCTGGTGCTCTGATACCATATAGGAAGAATAGAATATGAGAGAAATAATAATACGTGATAGAATAGAAGCCCCCATTGTGTTATGTGTTGATTACATGGAATATATATAGAGAAATATTGCAAGGTAATATAGTTTGACTAGGTAACTAAATCCTAACTAATCTAGGTAACCGAATCATACTAGAATCCTAATATTATGAGAGTTCGAAAATATAATATTCTCTAACAATATATGCTCGTCATCTTGTCGACTACTCACAGATCGTCGTTCGTCATCTCATCGATCACCTACTCGCAGCTCGTTATCTCGTCAGCTACTCTCAACTCGTCGCTCGTTATCTATCTCTACTAAACAACATGGCCAATGGGCTATGAGTGTGATATCTCTGCACACAATTAGAAATGGTGACCACATGAGTGGTACCATAGTTAAATATATTCCGACAAGAAAAAAAAGAGAAATTGAGCTAGTATGGTAGTATTATTTAGAGTAAAAAGCAGTTTACCCCCTAAATTAAAGGCTGTTTTGCACTTTGCCCCCCAAACAAAAAAATTTTGCACGTTTTTACCTAAACTTGTTAATTCATTGCACGGTGCCTCATAAAAGGAATATTCCGGCAATTTTGACCGGAATGAGAAACCATGTGCGTTGCACGTGAAATTTGTAGGGGTAAATTTGTCCCTTCACTTATATCCTATGTATTAATATAAACTAATCATTAAAAATAAAATTAAAAAAGAAAAAGAAAAAGAAAGCTGCCACCATCCCGTTGGCCATTAAAAAAACCCCAAACTCTTCCCACACCGCCATTTTTCATCTATCTTCATAGATCAACTCTGTTTCTTCTTCTTCTCAGGCTACATCGAAGAATTCCACAGTTCACACGGGATTTCATACCCATATTATAAAATACATAAAGTTTATGA